AAATGATCAATTAGCATCTCTTTTTTTTCCTTTTTTTTTAAAGCCCTTGTTCGCATGTTCCATCCGAACTGGAATCTGAGGGGCAGAGAGGGCAGCCAAGCAGGAATTTCATCTGCGTGTAGTCGGGTGACTCCACCTGTGAATTGAAAATCATTTAGCTGAAATTGTGACACGGCTTGCCACGACAGCCCGCCTGCAGGCTGGGGCTGGGGCTGGGGCTGGGGCTGGGGCTGTGGCCGTGGTGCAATCTTCCCGCAGTGAATACCAAGTCGACTCAGAGCAAGGAGATGAGGTCCTGCTGCTGGGCAGTTAGCAGACCACAAGAGCCCAGCCAGCGCATAGGCGGGGGAGGAGGGAAGCCGGCACCTCCCTGTCTACAGGAAGTGTCGTATCTACGATTTCAGGGTTTTGAACTTCCCTACCATGCTGGCACCTCTGAGGGAAGGCTAATGAGGAAACTGAGGCTCAGAGGAGTAACAGATTCTACCAAAGTCACACAGCAGGCCAACCCCAGAGCCCCACGTTCAGTCAGGGTCTTCTGAATCCACCTTGGGCATCATTCTACCACACTCCCGGGGATCAAGATGGATCAACTACAGATCCTTCCAAGGAGAGACCAAGGGGCCAGTGAGCAGGCACCACCGTCCACAACTGTGGATCCCACTGCAAAATCTACAATACTCGGAGTACAGAGTGCTTTAAGGATGACAAGAGAACTAAGAACATCGACACTAAGCTGTGACCCTGGGCCAGGCAGCGGCAGCGCTGAGTACTTACTCTCGTGCTCTCCCTCAATTCTCACAGCAAGTCCACCTCAGTTTTACAGATGAGGACACAGGGGCCTTGAAAGGCGAGGTGACAGCAGAGCCCGAGTTTGGACCCAGGTCTGAGTGAGCTCAGCGTTCTTCTTCAAGGGCAGCATGGCCTCGCCGTCACCCCTGCAGGTTGTCCTGCTGGGAAGGAGCGCTCAGGGTCCGAGTCGTGGCTCCCAGGCCAGAGCAGTAACAATAATAAGAAACCTCGCTCCATCCATTTCCTTGTCCCCCACCTGAGGGTACACACAGCACCTCGCCCCACTCATCCCTCCCATTTGCACGGTTCTCGTGGTTTCTGGCAGGACTGACTCAGCATAACGAGGACTCTGCCCAGAGTCGCAGCCGTTGCGCTGGCAGAAACAGGACCCACGCTGCACACCACTTGACCTGCATATGCCTCTCTGTGCTCTGCTCTCCTCTGAGTCACCTGCCAGAGAACCAGGGGCCACATTCTGCAGGGCATGGGTGCAGAGCCACCAGAGCCTTGGGAAAGGCCAAGGTCCCACCTCACTTAGGCAGCCCACCTCCAGGTTAAGCTAACAGACTCTGCAGTCACTCACCCATGGGCGTGAATCTCCTGGTTGCACAGACTCGAGCTAATTCGTTCCCTCTCCTGTAAGGCAGCAAAAATAACGGTGCCCGTGTCGTAGGATTGACCTGAAGACAGGAAAAGGTAATAACTGTGATGTGTTTGACTAGTGCCTGCCCGAGGTGAGCGCCAAATTGACGGTAATTATTATTTCCAACTTTACATTGATTGATTGATTCATTTATTCAAAAATAAGTGTTCTCCTGCAGTGTGACAAACCCATGCTCGGTTCAGAGAAGATGTGAATAATGCTCAGCCTGGACTGTCAGAGAGCTAGGTCTAGGGATGGGGACAGATGTAAACAGATCATCTCAGTGCAGGGAGATGCGTATGGTGAGAGAGGTCCTGAAGTGTGCAAAGTGCTCTTTTCCAATCTGCCTTTCTATTCAGACTCACTTTTCTCAAGATCCAGTGTTACCAACTTTTCCCGGAAGACGTAATCTTGTCATCGTGGTTCCAGGTCTTCCTTCCCACTCTAACTCTGGGGGAGGCCTCGGAAATTTCTGCTCTGTCATGAACACTTGAAGCATTACCATTTTTTGAAACTCACCTTGTCTATCACAGGAACCCTTGTAAATGTCCACCATACTATCCACAGGTCTTGTAAATATCCATAGTAGGACCTTTTGAAAAATAGATCCCCTTAAAGCAACAAATAAGCAAACAAAACATGTAGAATGTCAGAGTCTCCCCCTACCCAGCTTTTTTCAATAGACTTGGAAGCTGGATTCAGAGAGGGTCTAAGACTTTCCCTCCAGTGTTACTGAGAGCATGGCAGAACCGGAACGAAACCATGTCACAGGGACAGCTTCAGTGGCTATTACCATTGCCTCATTTAAAAGAACAGTTTCCCCCCCATCTGAAGTCAAATTGACGTTTGATTCCAGATGACACCTCAATTTAATCCATTATGGTATACATCCATGCACTTCCCACTTTCTTCATCCCACCTGGTTATTCCCCCATTTAAGTGGGTCCAGAAATGGGGGCATGCCTCCCCCCAATCACAGGCGAGGCTTCCGAGGCTTCCAAGGCTTCAAGGTTTAGTGATGGCCCATGGCCCAGCCCGCATTGGAGCTCAGTGCTTCTAACACCAAATCAAGTGCCCTTTCTGCCACACTGTAACCTGAACAAGTGGGCCGTGATGAGCATCTCTTACTCACAAAGTGGAGACCGCCGAGGAGTGCGGATGCTGAGAAAGGACCAGGCAATCTTCTGTTTTGTCTTCTGCGGAGACATTTCTTTGACCCCCAGGGGACTTCTTGGCATCAGCTCCAGACGATATACTTCAAGAAAAGCATGACATCATTTCCTGAACCCTACGATCCAGGAAGTTCATCTCTGGGGGAAAAAAATCATAAAAACAAACTCCTTGTGTGTCTTTCTTACCTCCCCTTTTCTCCCCAAGCTGGTCTTGCACAAGCAGGATGACCTTCCATTGGGTGACAAATATGTCGTAAGTGAAACGTTTACAGGCACTACAGGAATGACCTGGTGCCTCACCCACCTCATTAGAATTCTAATTGGGGTGTGTAGGAGAGGCTTCTATAAATGGTAAGGCGATCCCAGCAGCCTGTCTCCCCACATCGTCCGTGCCATTCCCAGACGAGCCCAGAGAGGAGGCAGAGGAAGGAGAAACATGTCTGGTGAGTGCACATGGTGTTTTCTCTGCCGGTCCCCACTGGACGTCCATGCTTCTCCTGGGCTGTCTGAGAGGACAGAGTGTTCAGCTCGGGACAGCTGCCTTGGGGCCTTAGAGAGTAGATCTTAGTATTTCGGGGTTCTATTCAGAGGCACCTCATTCTCAGTGGCTGCCTAGTCTCTCTAGTGTGGTCCCGGGGTAGAGCATGTTCGGGGCGGCTTTCTGCTTAATGGGCAAGGTATTCATTCAATGCAGCTGGAGGTCACATCCCCTTAGACAGATGGACCAGCTCTGCCCTTTGAAGTCAGCCGGTACCTGCTTCCCAAGTTTCTCAATGCAGTTCTACCAGCTGCCAGTAATGTAGTCAAGGAAAAGCACGTCTCAGAGCTACAAGGGAGAGTGGGTGAGTGACAGCATGTCAGTTGCTTTCAAAGAAACCACCAGTGGCACTGGAATGCTCCTAAGTAAACGACACATCCGGAAGCACCGGCAGGCTCTTTGGAAGTGACTTGATGAGCTGAAATAGCCAGGAGCAGAAGGAGCAGGTTTGCCGAAGACAGTTCCTAGGAGTGCACCAGGGCAGGGGTGAGAAAGCACAGCTGGGAAGAACACAGGTTCTCTGGCTCTGTGGTCACGTGGAGGACTGGGTTCTGGTCGGATGGCACCCCTGTTAAGCTGCGTGCTAATTATTGCCTGTTGTGGGTGCTCAGCCTAGTGGGTTGGCAGCGACGCCAAACCCAAACAAGGCATGAGTCAAACCAGTAAAATATTGTCAATGGTGGTTAGGGTCACAGGAAGTTTTGCCCAAGAAATCGCTTAGCACAATGCAAAAGGCAAATGCTGGTTGCTTCAGAGATCACAAAGACCAAGACAGGGAGGCTGCAAAAATGGACCCTTCCCCTGTCCCCCACTTCCTCCTTTGAGCCTGCAGCCGCGCTAGCTGCTGAAAACAGGAGTTGTGGATCCTGTTTACTTTAACAAGAAGGGATGTCAGCTGTCACACCCAGGCCACTTCACTGCCTCTGGAGGAGGTGGCCCAGGAAGGGGCAGAGACTTACGGGGTCCCACAGAAACTGGATAGCAGAGCCCAGACTAGGTTCCAGAAGGGCCCTTCCCACTGAGTCCTGTTTCCAGAGCTGAGCTCCCACATCAGTGCGTGTGACATCTGCAACACAGAAAAGTAATTCTGAACCTGGTTTCTCATTTGAACTCTTACCAACAGCCACCACTGAGCCTCAGGCTCCCAGGTTAAGACCAAGGTCCAGGCCGGTCCTGGTCACTCACCACACAGTGCTGTGTACGTGGTTCCTGGATGAATGAGTTAGCTTACTGGACAGCACAAGGGTGGCGGGAGCACCCAGATCAGTGCAATGGGGTGTCTGCCCTCCGTGGGCTTGCAGCCTGCCTGTGTTGTTGACACCAGTCACAGCCAAGTGACATGCGAGGTGGATTGTGGTCAGGCAGCTTTATAAATCCAGGCTGGTGCTGTGGGGCCAGAAGGAGGAGGAGAATCCTGGCCACAGTTTCAGATGGAAGGACCCTGGGAACCAGGGGCACTTGGTCATGGACAATGAGCTGGACTTGGTCTGAGGTAGTTTTGTGGGGTGAGGAGTGTTCTGGGCAGAGGGAATGGAAAAGAAATGTGAGGGAAGGTGGGCGAGAGTGACCTGGGGAACCCACGTGTGCTGGTCTGAGAGCACTGTGTCCAGCTCTCCGTCTAAGGTTCTTGTTGGGATCAGCGGGGTTCTCCCAGTGGAGAGGGTCACCTGGGCAGTGGAGAGGGTGGAGGGGATGACGGGGGTGGAGGGAGGCCTGGCGGTGTTCTGCACAAAGTAGTCCGGCACCCTCTGCCTGCTGCCCACTGAGGCCAGAGCCTCACTGCGAACAGGAACGAGGTTGTGGACACAGACGCTGGGCCCAATGTGGCAGAGAAGCATTGCTCCCCATCCTCAAAGCCACTCAGAGGCCCTGGGTCAGAGGCAGAGTCCTCAGGGTTCAAACCTGGACACAGAGCTCTGCCTGCAGGAGGCCAGAACCCCTGTGCTGGGGACTAGGGCTCTGTCCCACAGGGCCGGTGAGCTTTGCTGGCTGACTAATTATGGTCCCCAGCCTCAGTCCCCAGTCTCCAGGGACCTGTGCCTCTCTGGGCTTGGGGTCAGCACAGAACATCTTTCCTTGGAGCTGCGACGCTGGTGGCTCTTTCTCCATTTCGCAGCCCCCGTGCTGGGGTCTGGCTGCTCTGTTCACCTCGTGTAACTTTTCTTTTGCTCGGCCTCTACCTGCTGGGCTGCGCTCCACGGGTGGGGCAGCCCTCCTCCTCCCCGGGGCCCAGATGCCGGCCCAGGGCGTGAACAGGAGTTAGGAAATGCTTTCCGCGGGAACCAAGGGCCAGGTCTTCCACTGAGAGGGGTTCAGAGGGAGCCTGCCTTCCTCTCTCTCAGCCTGTATTCCTCCTTTTAAAATAAGAGACAGTGGTTTCTGCCCTGCCTCCCTTCCAGAGCGGCTGGATGGCTCCAGTAAAAGAGCTCTGATGAGTGTAAACGCTGTGCAGACCTAAAGTACTGATTCTCAGTCCTGGCTCCATGTTAGAATCATCAGGAGAGTTCAAGGGGGGAAAATGCAATGCTGTGCCTAGCACAGAGATTCTAACTTCACGGATCAGTGGTGGTGTTCAGGCTAACATGACCCTTTCCAGGTGATTCTCCCGTGCAGGGCAGTGAGGGTCTGAGAGATCCTAAACTCTCTCTGGAAGTGAAGAAGGCCAGGAGTCCTTCTTTTCTCTCCTCTTGCTATGACCGTGTGATGTCAAGGCAGGGATGAGGCCGCGGGAGGACCTTTCTGAACTGTGGCATCTTCCTGGAACCGTGCCTGTCACTGCTGCCACCACCTTGGCTGGCTGCAGGGTGGCTGCTTGGAGTCGCATGTGGTCAGGCCACACAGGGCTTGGGACCAGGCCCTGCTTGAGTGGGTGATATCTGGCAAGTGACGTCACCTGACTGGACTTCCAAATCCCTCATCTGTGAAATGGGAATAATCACATCACGTTGGAGGGGGAGTAACCATGAAAAGACATATGCTGGCAAAATGCTTAGCATTGTGTCTGCACATCTGAGGTTCTCCATGGCAGCCCACAGAAAAGCTCAAACCCCCCTCTATCCTGGGTTGCTGATGCCATTACGTGTGGGATCCCAAGGCATTGGTACCTGTCCCACCTCTGAAGGCCCCAGTGCTAGTGATGGGCACCTGTGGGATCCCAACAATAACCCTACGAAGGGGGATGTTCAGTTTCACCATCCCCGTCTGCAGAGATGCTGAGACCATGGCCAAGGCCGCTCAGCCACCCGTTCAGGGGTCATTCCCCTTCACCCTGGAGAACCTCGCCAGCCCCTCGCTCGGCCACCCAGGGAGCCCCAGTCTTCCCCACTGTCTGGGCGCCGAGAAATCACATCACCTATGCTGCACAGGGACTGACAATGTCCAAATGTGGGGGAAAGATGAAGGGAGGCGGCACAGGCTAAAGAGAGAGAGAAGAGACTGGTGAAGGCTAAGAGGAAACCACTGGTGCTCCTGGGGTGAGTGGGGCCCCGGCCAGGAGCTGGAGACGTCCTGGGCCTGGAGAGGAGGGGCAGGGGGCTGCTGGGAATGACTCATCCCCCACCACTGACCAGGACCTAAGACCTGGTTTCTGGGCCAAGCTCTGCTTCTGAACTACCCTGTGACCTCAGCAGATGGCTTCCTCTTCCAGGGCCTCAGTTTTCTTACCTGTAACATGGGAATATTGGACTACATCCCTATTTTTCAAGCTGCCGGTTGTCATCCATTAGCAAGTTGGGAAACCAGTTTAGTGGATTGTGACCTGCAAATTTTTTTAAATGAATTAAAAAACAGCAGTGCATTGTACGTAGTGAGGGTTAGCATTGTTCTGTGAAACTTTACCTCAATTATGGACCCATGAGTGTAAACAATGTATAAAATGAATTTCTCAATGTGGTCTCTTCTAAGAAGTTGAAGGCCAGATGATATTGAACACATCTATCAGCCCTAAATAACTGTAGAAATTGTAAGATTTCAAAAAACCCCAAAACTTTTGTCTAGAAGAGAGACCTAGGGAATAGGGTCTGAGCAGGCGGGGGAGATGCAGCCCCCAGAGTATCGGCATGTCGTGACAGGCACCTGCCAGCAGCTCTCTGGTCCTCTCAGGAGGAGTAGGTGAAAATCCCGGCCCCACACTTGCAACCAAGTCCCCCTCCCTGTCTGCTGAGGGGACCTGCTTACAGCATCAGCCGATAAGGATGGAGACGAGTGAGCCCCTCTCGCAGTCTGGAGCCTGTTCCGAGCTCCTTGTGTGACCCCTGCCAAAGGTGGACCACAGACCAAGTGGAGGGTTACGTTATCATGTATATATGTAATTAGGCTTGGCTGTGAATGACAGTGAGCCCCAACTAACATGGCTTAGAGAGCTAAACAAGACAAAGTCTACTTGTTCCTCACACAATAGGTCTGGATGTGGGCAGTTCCGGGGGGTAAGGCAGCTGCAAAATCCCTGGGGCCCAGGCTCTGTGCAGGCGCACACCCTGACATCCTGAGGTCATGCTTGGTCTAAGATGACCTCTAGAGTCGTATCCACATCACACTCACACTCAGGGCAGTGGATGAAAGAAGACAGAGGTGAGCAGGCTAAGAGCATTTGCCAACCTGTTTTGAAAAAGACATTTCCTCAAAGGGATTGAAAACAGATATTCAGATAAATACTTGCAAGTGAGCATTCATAGCAGCACGAG